ACCGGTTCTCCTACACGACCCAAGTCTCAATATGCTCTCCCAGCTCATCCCTGCTATTAAAATAGTATTTAGCTAGCATAAATATTTAGAACTAGCTGGTGAATTCAATAGTTCATTTATCATTCAAAGTGCGGGACAATATTTTAATGTTTCTATTTTGTAATATATGCAAAAATAAATTATTATTATTATAATGGCATCATGCACATTTTACACAATCCATCTCATATATCAATGTTTATCGTAGAAAATTGAATATAAATGCTTTCGATTTCTATTGCTTTGAGGTGAATACATAAAAAATAGATTATAAAAATAAGACTCAGATTATTTTAAATTAGTAACAATTTGAATACTTATCTATAATTCAAAGAAAGTACACTCCAAATTAATAATAACATATAAGTGTACACAATTCCTTGAACATAGGAGTTTAGTTTGTTGGGCTAATATGCCTCCATAAGATTAGAGTAAGTATATGATAAAGAGAATGTCAATTGAAATGTGTTTTATACGATTGTGATGTGCTGAATTATGAGTAAGGTACGTGACTCTCATGTTGTCACAAAAAATTAGTGGTGCCTTAGAGGTGGTGACACCTAATTTAGCTAGTAATGTGTGATACCTTTTTATCTCAAAAGATCTAATAGATAAGTTATAATAAATTTTTTAAAAATAAAAAATATAAATTATAATATTTTTTCTCGTAAAACTTGTTAAGGGTTCACATTTGCATCTATTACTTAAATCATAGAAAACACATAAAACATTATTTTATTTTAAAACTAAGAATAACCTTTTGAATTAATAAAGTTCTAACAATAAGACAAAATTAAATAAAAATTCAACTACTAATCCTAAAACAGAGTCCTGATGCCACACTATCAGAACAAGACCCCTTTTATATTTTTCAATCTCAAAAACATCATTCTATACCTGTTCTATTTATGCAAATGATTTTTAACCCAAATACAAACATACAAATATAGGAAGTAATTAAGAATACACATCATTCATAACAGCTTATACAAAGTATAAAGATAGACACACACATAATGACAACGATGTTTAATTCACGTCTGGCGTGGAGAGACCAGGGCCTCTCTACCAACCTCATACCTGGCGTGGGATCACCCCGCTCAACATGACAAGATCTAGGACCTCTTTGTCTCAATTTCATCCAACGTGGTCAAGGCCACATCCAAGATTGACCTCTTCACAATTTCGACATCAAATGGTGTTAAGTGCAACACCTCGCATCCTACACCGAGAAGTTTAGAACCTCTCTAGCAACCCCATGCCCAACGTGGTCATTCTCACACCAGGGACCTGCACATCACAAATTCACAATTGCACATTTCATCTCCTTTATCATTCATACCCATATAGAAATCATCAATACATATCATTTTAATTGACCAATTAACAAATTCATACTCAATGAACATCGAGACAACATCATTCATGGAAGTTTATATATAGTCATTTAAAATCTCCAAAAATTCATATAGAACAACTTTAACCCTCAAAATGTACAATTGCAATATCAATTTAATCCTACACAATAAGAATCAGGATATATAATAGCAACATTATTCTAATTGGTATTCATACATATAAGATTCTCCTCAAATAGATAACCTACAAGCTTAGGGATCATCACTTTACCCTTATTTATCATATATGCATAGGAATCAATAATATCACTCCTCCTACATGAAGTGACAAGTCTTAAGAAGTGATCCTCCAAGTTTAACCTAGAGTCTAGTACAAAGATTTTTGATGAGTTCTTCTTCTTTTATATATTTTATTAATAAAATATCTCTTTTTATTTTTAATTATTCTAATTTATTATATATTTATTTAAAAAAAATGATGATACATAATGCAAGTGAGTTATAAATTAAGGCATATAGAAGAATAATCAATCACGTATTAGTTACAATCGTGGAAACGTGCGATAAGGGCACTACAGCTAATTATGTTTAATATATGCATGGGCCAAATTACTCCCATACCTAGCTCTTAGATTTAACAAAAAAAAAAAAAACTTTTCTATTTTCAAACCTTATAGGAATCTTTTATAACATCGTATATTTTTTCAGCTAATACATTTTTTTCTTAATAATTTATATTATCATAAAATCCAGAGATATTAAAATAATGTTAAAAGAAGAAGTATTGAATAAAATATTGTTAAATTTCAAAGCATGTGAATATAATTCATCTTAATACATATTATTATTTATGTCAATAATTGGATGGCGACTCCAAATAATTATTAATTCTGTTAAGTGGTTCAGTGGTTGGTGGGCAAAAGTTGTCTTTGAAAGCACGCTTAATTTTCATATATCGGATGCTGTGACGTTGTTGGTTGTGTAATATATATATATTGGAGTTTATATCAATTCAAACATTTTAAAAATACAGATCAAATTAAATAATAATTGAGAAAATAATATATATTATGTACATATCATATGTGTAATCTTTAAATAAGTGTACATTATTATATATCTTAAAATTATTTTAGATACAAATTAAAACAATAAAAAGAAAAAGATAATTTTGTTTAATTACCTTAATTTCTTTTGTCACATAATATTTGTTACTGTATAACTTCCATAATAAACAGATAAATTGTTGCTGATCAATATAAAATAAATATTTTTTTTTATGAATTTTTAATTTTTTAGTGATATTTTCTTTTTGTGGGTAACTACAATTCAATTTTGTTGTAATGCTTAGTATCATCGATCGTATTCATATCTTACGATCATACGTCTCCGTAGGTATAAACGATGGTCAATTTGATTCGGATCTAATGCCAAATTACAGTTGAATAGGTAGAAACATTTTTATTTGGGTCCTCATATGTTTTTTTTTTCGGACTCAAACCGATCCAACCCATTAGGATTCGGGGCAATTAATTTTGGGGTTACTTGGCAAAGAGAGAGAGAAATTGAAAATTAAAAAATGAAAAATAAAAAAGGGATTTTTTTTTTGGTTCGTCCCTGGAATATCCACTGCCGATAACAGTGACGAATCTCCATTAGAAGCATCTCAAAAGATGGGATAGCTAGTCCCAAGATTTAACGCAGTTGCATACACAAGGCAGGATTTGAACTCCTGACCTTGCTAGGACACGATTACATGACATTTTTTTAACTTTTTCATTATTATACCCAAGGATGAAAAAAGCGTGTTTGTTTGAATTGAATAATAAATAGATAATTTAAATAAATATTTGCAAATAATATATACAGATATTTTTTTTATTTGTTTATAATTAAGGTGGAACGAATATTGTAATATCTATATTCTCAGGTGATAATTAAATAAAATTATTTAAATATTTATATTTTATTTTTATTTTTTTATATTATTATTAATATTTTAAAAATTAACATTAATTGTAAGTTTAAAAATTAATGTCAACTATTTAGAACTTTAATATTTTAATATAATGAATATTAAATACAAACTTAAATTTATTTGTAATATCTTTTTATTTTTTAAAAATTCATAAATATTTATAAATATTTATAATATTTACAAGTATTTATAAAATTCACGAGTATTTGTATGGATATGAAATAAATATAGATAAAATTTTATTCGAGGAACAAATACGAATATCATACTATCTGTCCCAAAAGTCACATTGCCATTCCTAATTATCCTTTATTTTTAAAAAGAAATGTGAGAAATAAATCACCGAAAATTGAA